CTCTATGTCTCTGTTGCTCTTCCTTTCAAATAAATAAATTAATCTTAAAAATTATATATATTATAGCAGGTTTTTGTGCTCCTTTCTGATAAGAAGTTTATTAATCAAGTGAGAAGGAAAAGGCAAAGCATACACGTAACGATGATGCTAATTATGCCGCGGGCCACAGGGTAGATCAGACAGACTGGTGGCCGCCAGAGGTGCAGGAAGGAGGCCAGTCTTTGTGGACATGCAAGGTCTGTGCTGGCTCCCAGGGTGCACACATGGGACTGCCACACTGATCCTGCACGCGTCACATCTGTCTGCTCCTGGTCTGGTGTCAGCCAGACGGTCATGACGAAGAGGCAGTCAGTGCCGGGAATGGGTGATGGCTGGGATGCACAGGCCTCGCCCCCAGGCCTTGCAGCCTCCCGGGAGTCCGAGCTGTTATAGAACACTTCCTAGCCTCCCTTGAAACGGCTGGCAAACCAGAGCTGAAGGGCTGTGTGGCGTCATGTTTTGCTTCTTATGTCCTTGTAGGTTTCTTGTTTTCATGTTCAAGATGGTTTTCATGTTAAAGATGGTTGAATACGGAGTGATTTTAAGTCCTGTGTATTTTCTTCACGAGTCTGGAACTAAAGCCATCGGCCTTTTGCGTGAATCCGCACCAGCAGGGTTGTTTCTGTTTTTTAGTACGTGCCGAGAGTCGTAACTTCCGCACAGCAGAAGGCAGGGAGGACGATCACGGCCCGGATCACGGGGAAGTGCGACTTCGCCTCCAAGAACAGAGTCAACAGCAGCTTGGCTATCATGGGTGTTTCTCCGCCCGTGAGCTCCGTGGTCGTGGAGAAGCACCACCCAGTCACAGTGGTAAGCCGCGGGGGGCAGCCATTCTTCTCCCTCACAGTTCAGATGGACGGTCTGGTGACATCTGGAGTCAGAGTGGCGTGTGCTCTGCTGTTGCGGTTAGTCTTTCTGCACTGGCGTACGGTGATCAGATCTGCTGTAATCCGTTTCCTCGGGTAGGAAATCAGTTTCAAAGACGTTTCTTCCAGACAGTATAAAATATCAGTTACGAAAGGAATCTAGTGTGCCGGTGACCAGAGGGTAAGACATGCCAGGGATTTTTTTACTTTTTTTTTTTAAGATTTATTTTTATTTTTGAAAGTCAGAGTTACAAAGAGAAAGGGAAGGAACAAAGAGGGGTGGGGGAGTACTTGGCCATCTCCACTGCTTTCCCAGGCACGTTAGCAGAGAGCCTTATCAGAAGTAGAGCAGCCAGGACACAAACCAGTGCCCACAGGAGACGCGGGCGTCACAGACAGCGGCGGCTCCACCCACTACACCACAGCATTTTTTATTGGTTCAAAAAAGAAAACTGTATCCACGTGTTCACACGGTAGATATCAGATTACCAAAAAGATTCCCTGCATTTATAGTTTTTAACTTTTGTTCTTTTTTTTAAACATCTTTTTTCTCTTCCTTCACTGCAATTGTCAACATATTTCAGGTTTGAAAAAAACCCAGGCTGTAAAAATCCATGTGATACAAAGGAAGGTACGGGCGATTTGCAGAAATAAGCAGACTACAGCCACGAATGCCTCAGTGTGGATACTCATTGCCTCCACGGCATCCACGCGTCAGAGAATGTTCTTCTGTGACAGGGATCTGTAAGAGTACTTGGCCCCCAGGGTTGTTTTCAGGATTCAGGGTAAAGGAGGGAATGCGAAAATTAAGATGTGTAAAGACGCTTGTCAGCCCAGAGCCTCGAGCAGACCGCACGCAGTCCATAGGAAAGGATACGGGGAGCATCTGTTCGCACAGCAGCCTGCGGGTCAGGATTCTCTGTAACAGGTACTTCGAAAAGAGTTACAAGAACAGAGCCCAAGGCGGGCATTTGCGTAGCAGTTAGATCCACAGTGCCTGGGTTCAAGTCCCACCTGTCCCGGGCCCCGATTCCGGCTTCCTGCTGATGCACCCTGGCTCGAGTCACTGGGTCTCTGCCCCCCATGTGGGAGACCCCATGCAGCTCCCTGCTCCTGGCTTCAGGGCTGCTCGGCCCCAGGCATTGTACGCATTCGGAGAGTGAACTGGTAGATATGGAGCTCGCTTGAATGCACTGTCTCTGCCTCTCAAATAAACGAACAGACTATGTTTTTGTGTCACAATGGACACTCTTCCTACCTATTCACATTTTATGTGCTGAAAAAAATAGAAATCAGAACTGTAGATACATAAGGCACAAAGAGCATCACGTTTACTTTTAACCTTTACAACACTTACTTCTGTAGAGATGACAGGAATTCATGCTTTACAGAAGAAAATCAACCCGTTACGAAGTTTATCTCGCGGCCTGCACCCTACATACGCGGTGTGTGCTGTAGGGAGCCGCCGGCTGTCTCTGTGTGTGTGTTGCTGTGTACCTCACATGCCAGCTGCCTCCTGTTCTCCCCTGTTGGGGTGCCGTGATGGACACAGCTGCAGTCCTCTGTACTGTGTTACCTCACTGATCCACCAGGCTCGCTTGGCACACACACGCCTCCTGCCCACTGCCCGCCGGCTGGGCAGCGTGTGCTCTGTGCTGTGTTCTCTGGATGGCCACACTGAGTCTCCCTGCTGTTCCTCTTGTCCTTCCTGCTAAGAGCCTGTGCTCTGGGGAGGTCAGCGGAGTGTTGTCAGAGTTTCATACCAGCGCGAGTGTCCCCGTGTGTAATCTACAGGTACTTATGTACAGACACGTATGTATGCAAGAGATTTTGTTAAGGCAGATCAGAAAGGAAAACCTATTGTTTTTAAGGTTTCTTTTTGTGGGGAGCAACTCGGACTAGACTAAGTTACTGGAATTAAGACTTATTCTATGCATCTGCTCTCCCACAATATGGCGCTGAGAAGGGAGAAACAGCTTCTACACAGCTGCCTCCAGTTCAACCAATAAACAGCAGGACCTGCTCCTGATTGCAGGAGAGCAGCGTACTCGGCGTGTGGGTAGCAGAGTTGGGATTGGTGGAAGAGGACTATAAAGGAGGAGAGAGACAACATGCACCAGGAACATCTAAGAGGAACATCTATCTGAAGGAACACCTGTGCAGCCCCCGAGAGAGCCGGCCGGTGGTGTGCCGCTCCCCCGCGGAAGTGGGGAAAGTGGCCAGGGGGAACCGCCCTTCCACAGAGGTGGAAGGGACAGTAGCCAACCCAGGAAGAACCAGCAGCAAACCTGGGGAGGGCCGAGCAGACGAAAGAACAGCGCAGGGTCCTGTGTCGTTCCTCCACGAAGAGGGGGAGCGACATAATGGTGCCGTGACTCGGATAGGAAACTTAGGAGGGAAGAAACGGGAAGAAGTGGAAAATACCGGAGAGAGAGACTAGCAAAGAGCCTAGGGAAAAGCCGGACAGAAAAGGTGCCGGAAGAAGCTATCGAAAGCCTAGGCATAGACTCGGATATGGACTGTGGGAAAGAAGTTAGGATTTAAAGTGAGAGCAAGAAGAAACTTAGACTCAGATACGGACTGCAGGTTGAAAGTGAAAGTGAAACCTATAAGAAACTTAGACTTGGATACGGACTGTGGGGAGAGGCCAAGAGAAATGAGAGGGGAATATTGTTGTTGGAAGAAAAGTTAGGGAAACATACCGGGTAGAGAAAAATGTTAGGGAAAATGAAGCCACGAGTGCAGGCTGAAGCGGAGACGTAAGCCATCTTGGAATTCTTCAGGTCAGCCCGGGGAGCAAAAGGCGAAAATCTGGAACCAGAGGCAGAGACGTGGGCCGCCAGGTTGGAATTCGCCAGGTTAGTCCGGGGAACTTGGACTGAATACCGGTGGTGGCGGAAACGTGAGCTACGCTGTGTGATTCGCGGAAGCCGCTGCGTGCAGAGAGAGCACGGAGCGTGAATAGATAGGGAACGCGGGGCTGGTGCGAAGGCCGTGGTGTGGGCACGAAGGGGCGCGGAGACCGCGGAGTGCGCGCGCGAAGCCAGGAAGCCGCGCAGATGAGAGAAGCGCGGGCTGAAGCGGCTCAGAGCCGGGAAGCCGCCGAGAAGCAACCTCGGGGCGGGCGCCGGGAAGCCGCAGGGATAAGAGAAACAGAAGTTTAGAAGTAAAATGAGAGAAATAGGAATGCTGGTAGATAGAAGTAAAATGGGAGAGATAGGAATGCCCGGAGATAGAGAAACAGAAAAATAAGGCCTCCCCACAACATGGCAATGAGAGAGCTTGGATTCGGTCTGCCTGATTAGGGAGGTGGTGAGCACCTGCGGGCGAGGGAATCATACCGGGTAGAGAAAAATGTTAGGGAAATTGAAGCCGCGGGGGGAAGGCCGAGGCGGAAACGTAAACCAGCTTGGAATTCTTTAAGTCAGCCTGGGGAGCAAAAGGCGAAAAGTTAAACCAGAGGCGGAAACGTGGGCCAGGTTGGAATCCGTCAGATTAGCCCGGGGAGCAAAAGATGGGAAACCAAACCATAAGGCGGAGACGCGTAAGCTAGGTTGAATTCGCCAGGTTAGCCCAGGGAACTTAGATTGAATACCGGTGGTGGCGGAAACGTAAGCTATGCTGTGTGACTCGCGGAAGCCGCCGCGTGCAGAGAGAGCGCACGGGGCATGAATAGATAGGGAATGTGGGGCTAGTGCGAGGCCGTGGTGCGGATGCGAAGGGCGTGGAGACCGCGGAGCTCGCGAAGCCAAGCCACGCAAAGCCAGGAAGCCGCGCAGATGAGAGAAGCGCGGGCTGAAGCGGCTCAGAGCCGGGAAGCCACCGAGAAGCAGCCTCGGGGCGGGCGCCGGGAAGCCGCAGGGATAAGAGAAACAGAAATTTAGAAGTAAAATGAGAGAAATAGGAATGCTGGCAGATAGAAGTAAAATGGGAGAGATAGGAATGCCCGGAGATAGAGAAATAGAGAAAAATAAGGCCTCCCCACAACACAGCAATGAGAGAGCTTGGATTCGGTCTGCCTGATTAGGGAGACGATAAGCACCTGTGGACAGCTGCAGGTCACCGAAGACAGGCACGTTATCAACACCAATAAGTCTCCCCACAAGACGGCAATGAGAGGGCTTGGATTCGGTTTGCCTGATTGTTAGGGCTTGTAAGCACCTGCAGGCAGTTCTAGCAGAGCAGAGCATGCGCTGCAGGGCACCGAACACAGGCACGCATCAGCGCCTAAAAACCTCCTCACAACATGGCGAAGAGAGGACCCGGATTCGGTTTGTCTGATTGATAGGACTTGTAAGCACCTGTGGGCAACTCTAGCAAGCAGAGCAGAGTGTGTGCCGCGGGGCACCGAAGACAGGAGCGTATCAACGCCAAAAAATAAAAAGAAAGGGGGATCTGTGGGGAGCAACTCGGACTAGACTGTTACTGGAATTAAGACTTATTTTATGCATCTGCTCTCCCACAATATGGCGCTGGGAGAGGAGGAAACAGCTTCTACACAGCTGCCTCCAGTTCAACCAATAAACAGCAGGACCTGCTCCTGATTGGAGGAGGGCAGCGTACTCGGCGTGTGGGCAGCCGAGTTGGGATTGGTGGAAGAGGTCTATAAAGGAGGAGAGAGACAACATGCACCAGGAACATCTAAAGGGAACATCTATTTGAAGGAACACCTGTGCAGCCCCCGAGAGAGCCGGCCGGCGGTGTGCCGCTCCCCCGCGGAAGTGGGGAAAGTGGCAGGGGGCCCGCCCTTCCACGGAGGTGGAAGGGACAGTAGCCAACCCGGGAAGAACCAGCAGCAAACCCGGGGAGGGCCGAGCAGACAAAAGAACAGCGCAGGGTCCTGTGTCGTTCCTCCACGAAGAGGGGGAGCAACACTTTTTTTAAGAAAAACTGCTTCTTAGTTTTTGAGCTACTTAGTGTGAATGTTTTGACAAAAGATATGTAATTTTTCTGAAAGTATTTTAAAGGTGACTTTTCTGAGTCGCATACCCTGGTGGAAATCTCCCTTCCTGCTCCTGCGAAGCTGCCTCAGGTGGAACAGGCCACAGCACGAGTGGGGTCGCACGCTGTGTGCATAGCGCACATGTGTACCTTAGCACGTGTGTGGATCGTGCACGGGTGCAGAGCATGCCCTTGTGGGTGCTGCAGCACGTGTGTGGGCCACATGCTGTGTGCAGAGAGCACGTGTGCCGCTCACACAGCGCACATGGCATCTGGGCATACTGCATGCAGGGACTGCGTGTGGTGGGCTGGGGTGCTGGCGTCTGCTCGCGTCCACGAGTGCCCTGAGCTGTGGGCGCTGTCGAGGCCTCCCTCAGGTGCTCCCTGGCCTCGTGGTCTTCGTGGGTAGGAAGCCGTGGAGCATCCTGCTTCTGGGGAGACCACCACTATGTGTCCCGCCCCTCGAGCTGAGCTGCACGCAGCAGGAACCAGACTGGACCTCAGGGTAGAGAGGAGGCGGCTGGATAGAACGGGGCCAGTGCTGGTCTGACCCCTCTGTGCACGGAGTTCCTGCACTGGTTTGGCCTCTGGGAGGAATGGCAGCTGTGGCTGTGTGCGTGACCCAGGGACCCTGCTCTGCAGCCGAGCTGTGGGCTCCCGGGGCACGGCCTCCTCGTCTTGTTTCACTCCTCACTGGCGTCCACTGGAGCCTGGGTTCTGTCACAGGTGGCGATCTCGCGGATTCCTGAAGCGGTCTTCTCTTTCGTTTCAGCAGACCATTCCTCAAGCCACTGCAGCAAAGTACCCTCGGGCCCTTCCTCCCGAGAGCAGCTCATCGGCTTCCAGGTCTCTGGGGACCAGATCCACCCACGCCCACTCCCTCGGCAGCGTGCAGTCCATCAAAGTGGTCGACTGACGGCAACGCGTGCCACGGAGAGCGGCTCGCTCCTCTGCCCTCACTGAGGGTTGGCAGTCTTGGGTTGTTAACTTTCCGAATTCTTAGAACATCACAGATGCATCATGGTCAGCTTCCAGAATTACAAGAGACTTTTTCAAGCGACATCATCCTTTGTAACAATATGTAGAAATTATTTTAATGTTATTTTTTATTTAAGAAATTAAGTAAAACTTTTAAAAATTAAAACAAGCTATTTTTTATTACGTTCAACTTGTCATAGATTCTGTCATCAGAGCTTATAGAGCCTATCTGTTTACGTTGTTTCCCCGTGTTACCCCGCTGCAGCGTACACAACTACTAAACTAGAACTGGGAGATACCAGGCAGTTTTAGGTTTAAAAGATGAAGAGCGGGAGTCACACTGACATCTTTTGTCACAAAGCTTTAGTGGCGCTGGCGTGTTCACCACTCTCCTGGGCTCAGCACTTGGAACCAGGCAGGGCTGGCGACCCCCGCAGGGAGTTGTAGTGCAGGAGCCCGGAAGCTTCCCGTCTGTTTCTGATGCCCCCTCTGCGTCTCCTGCAGATGGCAGCATTGAGCTGTGTGGCTCCATGAGCACCAGCCTCGTCCAGGCAACTCGGCAAAAGTAAGTGGTGGCCAACACGAAGAGCCCAGAAGTTGTCAGGGCAGAGCAGGCTCCTGAGGGGCGGATGCAGGCCGGCCGGCCCCTTGGCCCCACTCCCGATTCCGGTGAACTCGGCAGCCTCATCTGTGCCCAGGCTCCCCTTTCTCGGGTGTTTGTGGGCTATGCCGAGGGCTGGGTTCGGAGCGGGGGCACCTGACGCCTCATCCCATCGGACATCATCTAGGCTGTGCCCCGATCTTACCCCAGGAAACCGTGTTTCTTGCTGCCGCACATGGAGAACCAGTGTGCCTGGGCAAGTGCTGTTTCTGGCCAGGCCTCCCCTTTCTGAAGCACAGAAGTGCCAGGCAGTGTCTGAAGAGCAGATGCGCAGGCGCGCTTGTTCGGGGCTCTGACACAGCTGCCGTGGTGCCACCAGCTTGTGGCTTCTGCAGGCCCCCGTGCCCCCTCCTCACTCCGATCTGCATCACAGAGCCCAGAGGTTCCACTGGGTCTACTCAGCCCACAGTTACACCTTGCTGGCCAGCAGGCAGGGCCTCCTCACTCTGATACGGGACGGTCCCACCAGAGGAGAATCAGGCACTCAAAGCCTGGTGCCCGTGGCCTTCCCCTGGGTCACTCCTTTCCTCCACCCCCACCTCCCTGGGTCTGCACTCCTGAAAAGGCTGCCCTCCTCCTCCGTGAGGACCCTAGACTATGGCTAGAAAGCGTTGGCAGCATCCAAACCAAAGCCACGTGGTTAAGCTGGCTGTACATGCCCAATGAAGGTCTATGTGGGAAGCTTCAGATCAGAAGTGTGTGTACTGTCTAAAGCTCCAGTAATTAGTGGTAAGTAAAGCACCTGACGCAGTAGCAGTGTGTATGCCCACTTGTTTTGGCAGGGAGGGGGTGCAGCAAGACCAGTGGAAGCTGGCCTTGTTGACCAGCAGATGGGGTAAGACCATTCTGCCTTCCTACAAAACTTGGAGCTGGGGGCTGGTGCTGTGCTTCAGCAGGTTAAGCTGCCGTCACCAGTGCTGGCATCCTATATAGGCGCAGGTTCAAATCCTGGCTGCTCCACTTCCGATCCAGGTCCCTGCTAATGTGCCTGGGAAAGCAGTAGAGGATGGCCCAAGTGCTTGGGCCCCTGCACCCATCGGGGAGACCTAAAGCTCCTGGCTTTAGCCTGGTCCAACCCTGGCTGTTGCGGCCATTTGGGGAGTGAACCAGCAGATGGAAGATTCTCTCTCTCCCTTCTCTTTCAATTAAATAAATAAATACATCTTTAAAAAAGACCTGGAGTCATGAGTTTTTAGCCGTTTGAAGCATGCATAGGATTCGGCAGGTCGCTGCCAGTCGGCACGGGACTTGTAAAACAACAGACTGGATGCAGTGACCAGGCTCAGCCTGCTCAGGATTTTATTACTGCCTGGTGGCTGTGGAGATGGAAATGAGACCGGCAAGCTTCAGTGATGAGATGGATGTGTGTGATCCGATGGAGAAGCTGTCCCGATTCCACGTCCATCTCAACTTCAGGTGTCAAAAGCAACGCGTGTTCATGCTGTAAGTATCCACCAAGTGACCAAAACAGGCTGGTATGTAGGCGCCTGGTAATTTTAAGCAGCGTATTCCACATACATGTGATGTAAAGCCAACAGCATCATGTTCCAAGCCCAGCGTGTTGCTGCAGACAGAGCCGGAGGCGTGACTTCCAGGCTGTGGGCCTGAGGGGAACCCTCGCCGAGTCGTGCCTCTTTCCAGGAACGAAGCTGAAGGTCTCGGTCTGACGATCACAGGCCAGAAGCTCTCAGTGAGTGGGTGGCAAAGCCCCCTTCAAATCCGTATCTTGGAAAACCCCCGGGTTTCCATACACACCAGTGCTGCTCCATCGGAATCTCACCAAAACGTGACCCTCCGACCCTCCGACTCTCCCAGGTTACGTGTCCCATCACATGACAGACGGAAGAACCACAGACAGACTGCCCTTAAGGAAAACCACGAAGCGTATCTGACAGCACCCGAGTGGTTGGGGAGTTGGTGGTGTCCTCCGCCTGTGAGCGCGTCCTGTCACCACCGTCGCATGCTGTGGGAGGACACAGCCTTAAAGATGCTGAATTGGAAAGAAAACACGTACACAAGTCTTCAGGCACTTATGAAACGGCACATTTCCTGGAGCATGAGTCAGAGTCATTTTTGAATTGACGAGTCTTTTCTGGAAAAAGTAACATTGATTGTCACTATAGGGTTGTCTGTTGTTAACAGCGATGTTCACTAACCACTGGCCTTTCCTAAGCCACACGCTGTCCCAGGCCTGTTCCTCCTTTAACCTCACAACAGCCCCCTGAAGTGGACGTTCTTAGTTCCTGCCCTGCTTGTCTCCTGGCGAGCGCTGGCAGCACAGGAGGGCCGTGGCTCGCCTCGGCGCACAGATCCTGCAGGCCTCGGGGTGGGGGACGGAGTCTGTCCTGGGAGAATGCCCATGAAGCAGGGGGAAGGCCCCCGAGCTGACGACAACTTCATGGGAATCTCCTTGTCCCGGCCGCTGCCTGACACGCCATCAGTCAGGGCCCGAGTCACTCACCTCTGCAGCTGCAGATAAACGCTTGCATGAAAGCTGCAGCGGGTACCCTCCATTCAGCCTGGCAGTGGTATTGGCACGCTGGCGTGTGAGAGTTTGCCGTGGGATTAACTGCCAAGTTTTCCAAGGGGCCAGCAGGGGTCACAGCGGCTTTTACAGTACCCTCGTGCTGGCCTGCAGGGGACGTTCAGACCAGCCAGCCAGAGCAGGGAGCGCTGCTGCTTCTCCCCGTGCTTCTCCAGGAAGCCAGTAGGGGGCGGCACCAAGAGCAGCCGGCTACAACTTGAGTGCGGTGGTCCCTCTCCAGAGGCTCCTTCCATACAAGCCCCCTACTCCGCGTGAGCCCACAGTGGGACCTCTGCTCTCTGGGTGGCATTTCTGTCACCCGCCCCACCGCTTCCAGGCACAGCTCCTGCCTGTGGAGAACTTACCGGCCAGTTCTGGGAAGCCTGCGCGCACCAGCGTCTCATGCAGGTGCTTGGCCGGGTGGGGCTGTGTGAGCAGGGCCCCGTGCAGCCAGATGAGCAGGGCCCTGTGGCCGTGTTCACGGAAACTCTCCTTCCCTGTGCAAAGCACAAGAGGGCCAAGGTAAGACACCACGAGCGAATGTCCTGTTGTGACTGCAATCCCTTGCTTTCTTTGAGAGACAAACAGATCCTCCATCTGCTAGTTCATCCCCCAGATACCCTCAACAGCCAGGGCCAGGCCCGCTGAAGCCAGAACCAGGAACTCAATTCAAGTCCCCCACGTGGGTGGCAGGGACCGAAACACTTGAGCCGTCACCCGCCGCCTCCCAGGGTGCACATGAGCAGGATGCTAGAATCAGAAGAGGAGGCAGGACTCCCGCCTGGGATGCGGGCACCACCCAAAGCCTGCCCCTATTTCTCCTCCAAAGCCGTCATCAACCTGTCACTCGCCTGCTCAAAAGCCCACAAGCTCTCCAGTGCAGGAGCCTTCCCGAGTCACAGTGCAGTTGGACTGTGGACATCACTGTCACCACGCTGCTGTCCTCTGAATGTGGTTGTCACCAAACTCATGGCGACGCTTAATCTGCAAGGTGATGGTTCCGAGGCTGTGGGGCTTGGGAGAGGCGCTCAGCTGTTAAGGAAGGGCTCACGCAGGAACTCGGGCTCTCACGGAGCAGGTGAGGACAGGGAGCCAGCGAGGCCCCACGTGCTTGTGCTCCCACACGTGCTCCCGCAACATGACGCTGTCTGCTGTGCCGCAAGGCCACATGGGATCTCAGTAGCCACTGCTCCCACTCGACAGCCATGCTTTGCCCCACGCCATGCGGCTGTCCTGCCTTTAAACTCTAGCTAGCCAGTGCCCAGCAAACTTGGTATTTCCTGGTTTTGTTTCAACCCTGATAGAGCAGAACTGCCCTGACCTCATTCATCCTGCAGAGGTGACGCCGCAGCGTGGACACCTCTCCTGAGAGGCCCTGAGGCAGCACCCCATGAGTCTCTCAGAGGCCGGCCACGACACCCCAGGGCCACACCCTACGACAGCTGGCAACACCACACCTCCTGAAGCAGTGAGCCTCTTGACCACCGGACAGACCCACTGACCCCAGGACAATCTCTGGGACAGCAGTGACACCTGCCCTAAACCCTCACCACCCTCATGCCCATTCAGTCTGGGGCCTGAATTCACCTTCTACACAGGACCCGGTAGAAGTCACCATCTCACTTCCCTTCTACACAGGACCCGGTAGAAGTCACCGTCTCACTTCCCTTCCCCACAGGTTTCCCCAGTCACCTGTGTGGACCTGAGCCAACTGTCCCGTTCCTAGAGCTGAGGAGCCTGTGACAGGCCCTATCTGTCCCTGCCCGCGTGGTCCACGCCACACTCACCTGCCCACTGCTGCTCGATGGCTCTGATCTGCTCCTCCGTGAAGCCCCAGGACCGGGCCAGCCTCTGCCACTCGTTGGCGCTGAGCTGCCGGTAGGCCAGGTCCCAGAGCAGTGCGCGCACAGGCCTAGTCTCCAGGCTGTGGTCCTGCTTGAACGTCAGGGGAGCGCGGGGGCCCTCGCCGTGCTCCTGAGGAGGAGGAGGAGACGGCTGTCAGGGCTCTCAGACGCTGAATTCGCTGCGTATTTCAGGAGAGGTGCACGCATGTTCCAGGTGCGGCAGGCGAGGTGGCAGCCGAGACCATTTTCAGTGTCCCCAGTCCCCACTGCTCTGTCACCCACCGTGGTGACGCCTGCAGGCTCACGGGTCGTGAGCCTATGAGCATGTCCCCAGGAGAGGACAGAGGGTCTGTCACGATGGCAGATGCGCCTTTGGTGGCCTTACTTCCCACCACACCCCCTTTCTTCTTAGCATTCAACTTCCTCGCATGAAGTGGCGGTGGGACCTGGATGGGGTTCATCCTTACTACAACCAACACAACCCCACAGCCCGCCCCTCAGACCCTCCCGCTTTCTGCTGAGTGGGGGGCCCCGCCTGGGGGAGGGAGCAGGGAGGACAGGAGCAGACACTGTTCCAGCCAATGCAGCCAGAAGCAGTCCAAAACGTTTATGGAAAATGTGCATGATGAAAAAATCGTGGGGCCAGTGCTGTGGTGCAGTGGATTAAAGCCCCTGCCTACAGTGCCGGCATCCCATATGGGCACTAGCTCGAGTCCTAGCTGCCCCACTTCTGATCCAGCTCCCTGCTAATGGCCTGGCAAAGCAGTAGACAATGGCCCAAGTCCTTGAGCCCCTGCACCCATGTGGGAGACCCGGAAGAAGCTCCTGGCTTCAGATAGGCTCAGCCCTGCTCCAACCTTTGCAGCCATTTGGGGAGTGAATTAGTGGATGGAAGACCTCTCGCTTTCAGTCTCTACCTCTCTCTGTAACTGTATTTCAAATAAATAAAATAAATGTTATAAAAAGAAAAAGAAAGAAAAGAAAAAACCGTGCATGGGTTTCAAAAAGGTTTTGCACCAAATACGCTTATCTGCTGACTTCATTTCCCCATGAGCTTCTGAAGGACCCATTCATGCCCAGAGTGCCGTCGCCTCTTGGCTTTGCAAAGGTTCCTGTCGCCCCTCTGCAGGGTCTGCCAGAGTCCTGCAGAAGCAAACCGAAAGCACGGGGGGAATCCCCACGTGGAGGCAGGTGCTGTGGGCCTTGGAAACACCCGTCCTGCAGGTGCCCACATACAGAAGCAGCAAGTCGGTGACCGGCTCATTTTTTTATGCACGATAACTTCTATTTTTGTCTTTCATTTAAACAGAAGCGAATCTTGAGGAAAGATAATTCTGAGTAGCAAGCTGGGAGTTACTGCTGGGACAGGAAAGAGACAAGAAGCATACGGGACCTGGTTTGCAGGACCTGCGGCAAGAACCCAACGTGGCTGAGGACATCCGCACCAGCTGCCTCCCCAGGAGATGCCACAAGCCCAGGGGAGGGGCAAGGCCTTCCACGTACAGAAAGTGGGGGGGAGAGCGAATGCCCAGAATTACTCAGGGGCAGCAAACTGAGATAAATGCGCTTTGCTTTAAGGATCTGTGGGAAACGCCCAGATCTCAGCAGGTGCACCCAGATTCGCTCCTGGCAGGGACAAACATAGCAAGGACTGGGAGTGGCCCTAACACATTTGACTGGGGTAGCTGTGCTGCCTGGGACAGAAACCACAGGCAGGCAACTAAGCTGGTGTCTGGGCGCAGACCTGGTCATGCGGGGAGGGCAGCCTTCTTGCAGTAGCAGCAGGACCTTCTGCTGTCAGAGGAAATGAAAAGAAGGTTGGGTTTCTGTGTTGTCAGCGTGAACAGGTTTTCTAGCCACAGTCCACTGTCACACACCGGGGTGCAGGGGGCCAGAAAGGCCTGGAAACCCCAGAGCCAGGAAACGAAGGGGGCTTTATACCTCTCAGCAGAGCCCCCGGGGAGCAGACCACAGCCAAGACCCTGGAAGGAAGGCGCCGCGGGCATCAACGCCAGGGCTGACACCAAGGTGGGCAGGAGAACAGGAGAAAGAAGCGGCGGCTGCTTCCCACACCCCGCCTCCCCACCAGTGGAGATGGCACAGGACAGGGCAAAGTCGCAGCACTGCTGACCAGGCTCTGCCCTCAGGGCAGACAACAGAGTCAGCAGACCCCTGTGCTGCTGGAGAAGAGGGACGGCTCGGGGCTCAGCTCACCTGTCTCCAGGCACAGAATCTCTCCGCCTTAATGAGCATGTCCACAACCAGGCTGTGGCCGCTCCTGGCGGCCACGGCCAGGGCAGTCCTTCCCTGCTGAAAGACAAAGGCAAGCCTGGGATGGGGAGTTCTCACCGGGCAGCAGAGCTCAACCCCACCATCTTCTCGCTGGGCGAGCTTGGGCCAGTTTTTCTGGGGCTCAGGATCTGGCTCACGGGCAGAGGCGAGGGTGACAAAGGGTGACAAAGCGAATGAAACCCCTGAACGTTTCCCTGCTCCTTGCTGGTCGACTGGGCACCTAACTTCTGGTCCACAGCATGGTGATGGCGGAGGCACCTGCACCTCCTGAGAAGTATCTGTGAGAGAGCAGGGATTTGTTCTCTTCCCTCTCTCCTCCCGGGTGGAATGCTGACATGACGGCTGAAGCATGAGTAGCCACTTTAGACCAGGGAGTGGAGGCCTTGCTTTGAAGAGGGTGAGTCATAAGGAAGAATGAGCTGGGTGTTATTAAGACATTGGTGGGGCCGGCGCCGTGGCATAGCAGGTGAAGCCGCCACCTGCAGTGCTGGCATCCCATATGGGTGCCGGTGCAAGTCCTGGCTGCTCCACTTCCAATCCACCTCTCTGCTATGGCCTGGGAGAGCAGTAGAAGATGGTCCAAGTTCTTGGGCCCCTGCACCCATGTGGGAGACCCACAAGAAGCTCCTAGCTCCTGGCTTCAGATCAGCATAGCTCCGGCCATTGCGGCCATCTGGGGAGTCAGCCAGCAGATGGAAGACTCTCTCTCTCTCTGCCTCTGCCTCTCTGTAACTGCCTTTCAAATAAATAAATAAATCTTTTTTTTAATTTATTATGTTTTTTCTTTTTGTTTGAGAGAGAGAGAGACATAGAGAAAAGTCTTCCTTCCATTGGTTCACCCCCAAAATGGCCACTATTACCGGCGCACCGTGCTAATCCGAAGCCAGGAGCCAGGTGCTTCTCCTGATCTCCCATGCGGGTGCAGGGCCCAAGGACTTGGGCCATCCTCCACTGCCTTCCCGGGCCACAGCAGAGAGCTGGACTGGAAGAGGAGCAACCAGGACAGAACCGGTGCCCCAACCGGGACTAGAACCCGGGGTGCCAGCACCGCAGGCGGAGGATTAGCCTAGTGAGCCACAGCACCAGCCTATAAATCTTTTTTTTTTTTTTTTAAAGAAAAAGAAGAAAAAGACGCCGACACTGGTGATGGCAGCACAGGTAACTGCAGCGTGGCATTCAGCTCCCTGCTCCTGTCTCGTACGGCTTCTGTTAGACCATCCTGCCTCTGCCCAGTGGCAAGGGGCGTGAACGGTTACCACGTGGAGTGAGCAATACGGGCTGTCTTGGCCACAGCTAGGCACGAGCTGCCTGGAGCCCTACAGTGGCCTGTGCACGTTACCAAAAGTGTACCATTCTCAAGCTCCAGCACCCGCTCTGCAAGAGCCACGTCCAACTGTTATGCGGGGGACAACTTCAGGATCTAAGGACGATGCTTCCACTTACTTTTCACGTCCCGTGAAGAACTAGCTTAGGGACCCTGGATAACAAATGAAGCTCAGGGTCAAAAACAACCCCAGGAAGTGGGCATCTGGCACTGTGCTTAAGAGTTCTCTTGGCAAAACAGCTCAGGTTTTATTGCCAACCGGGAACAGACAACCTCAATGCTGAACCGCACTGGACAAAGGGGCGAGGACCCCTGCTGAGGTGTATGGGCTGCCATCTCAGGCTCCCTCTGCTGCTCCCAGGAAATGGGCTCTGCTCAGCAGTCTGCCATCAGAGCCCCAGGAGGGTGTCAACACCAGGGTTAGGGTTAGGGTCAGGGTTAGGGTCATGCCCAGGATGACCTTGCTCCCCGCCCCTCCCTAGCCGCTGGCAGGGAGGGGAGCCCGTGGTGGTAGCAGCAGCACTCTAGCAATGGAGAACGCCGGGGACCAAGGCACGTGGCATTTCATTTTGCCTTCCTGGGAGACTGCAGATGTGTGTCTTCCTTCTCTCTCTCAGTATTTGTTAACTTCCTTTTTTGTTTTTAAATCTCAGAGAGACGTGTGTTTAGTAGACACAGCTGTAATATTCAGCAAAACTTTGTCAACTGGCACTGTTGACACAAGTCTGTTAGCTGCATAAGCTCAATAAAACGTTGGTCTGGGCATTAAAAAAAAACAATTCCCTTGGCACACCCTCATCCCATGTCAGAGGGCCTGGGTTCGAGCCCCAGCTCTACCTCCTACCCACCTTCCTGCTGATGTCACCCTGGGGCGCAGCACCGAAGACTCAAGTACTTGGGTCCCTGACACCCATGTAGATTTGGCCTGGCCTAACCCTGTCTGTTGCAGGCATTTGGGGAACGAACCAGGAAATGAAGGATCTCCCCTCGCCCCTCTTTCTGTCTCTCTCAAATTAATTTTTTTTAAATAACCCAGAAGTTGTTTCAATCTTAGAAACCTGCTTGTCTGTCCTTAGAGATCTATAAACATATCCCACAATCCTCGTCCTAGATGGCTGCCACAGCACAATTCCCACTCCAACACTGGGGTTGCCATCCAGGCACCAAGACGCAGGGAACACGGAAAATTAGTGGTGGAAGTAATCAGCCCCAACCCCAAAAGAGACAGTAATGCAATTAGGAAGAACTGGGTTTTCCAGGCATCGACCAAGCCTCTAATTGTATGCTGTCTCAATTCTGGCCTGCAAAACCTTTTGAATCACCATAATTAGCCCATTTTGGGAACATTTTCAAGCTGTGAGCAAACCTCAGAGGGGCGGAGGCTGGAGTGGGTCCATACACCCTGCCCTGCCTTGGGCTGAGAAGGCTTCTGGCAAAGTCCAATCCGCCTGAAACCTGGGCTCCTTTCCTCCTAGCCAGCTTGGAAACGTGTATCTCTGGTAACAGTCACAGACAGGAAGGGTCATTCTTTCATGAACTAAGTATGTGTCAGAGCCCACTTTGTGCCAGACCCCAGAAAGAGAGAGGGTGAAGGAAAGAACCTGGAGAAGCTCACCGAGCAGGCCAGCACCCCGCGGGCACCCCGTGAACCCGTGCCTCATGCTACAGACCCTAACCCTCAAAACGGTCATGGAAGCACTACACAGCAACAGGGATAGAATAAACCACACAAAGAAGGCTCAGGACTCACGTGGCAGGTGGCCTAATGAACCAAGCTGGAGCTATGGGTGGCCGCACTCACCCTCCTTGCTGGGCCTGTTTCCCAAATGGTCACAAGGGGCCGGGGCTACCTCCATGCTCAGAAAGGAGTGGTAGGCAGAGAAAAGCGAGATCTCTTACCGTGACTTCAGGGGGCACGCCAGCAGGGTGGGCTGTGGAATGGGAAGCTGCTAAGCTCAGAGCTGGGGGACCGGGATGAGGACTGGCTCGTGACTGGGAGCAGCCCTCTCCCAGCTGACAGCCATGGGAAGCAACGGCAAAGGCAATCACCTTGTCCACGGCCTTCAGGTCGCAGCCTGCCTGCAGCAGGGTCTCCACCAGTTCCACGTCCCCAAGGTCGGCGGCCACGTGTAGTGGGGTTTGCTGTCTCTGCCACGGAGATTAAGAAAACTTCATGCAGCGCAATAAGGAGAGGACTTCACAATGAAAGGGCAGGGCCAGGAAAGCATCCTACAGACTCAGGAAGCGAGTGGTGTCACAGGTTTTAAATGATACAGGGACAGGCATCATAGCAATGAAAATGAGGGATGCGCAAGTGAACTGTGCTGATCTGCATGCTGGAAGGTAGGCAGCCCTGAAATGACGCCAGTGTGGGCACCAGGAGCACCTTCACGGAGAACGGGCGTGAATGGTGGCTGCCAGGGCCTGGGAGCAGGGAGAGGGGCTGCTGTTTAACAGGTTCAAGGTCTTAGTTTGGGAAGAGGGCCAAGTTCTAGAAGTAGACAGTGGCAATAGTGACACAAAAATGTGAACAATTAACACCTCAGAACTGGACGCTTAAAAATGGTTACAATGGTAAATTTTGCATACTTTACCACAATAAAAAATGACTTTAAAAGGCAGAAAGACAAAGGCACAGAGAATACCCTGATCTGTTGGCTCAGCCCCCAGACGCCCCAGTTTAGGGTCAAAACCAGGAGCCTGGGGCCAGCGCTATGGCTTGGCGGGTAAAGCTGTTGTCTGCAGTGCCAGCATCCCATATCGGCACCAGTTCGAGTCCCAGCTGCTCCACTTTTGATCCAGCTCTCTGCTATGGCCTGGGAAAGCAATAGAGGATGGCCAAGTCCTTGGGCCCCTGTACCCATGTGGTAGACCCAGAAGAAGCTCCTGGCTCCTGATTTTGGATCAGTGTAACTCCAACCCTTGCAGCCATCTGGAGGGTGAGCCAGCAGATGGAAGACCTCTCTCTCTGCCTCTGCCTCTCTGTAACTCTGCCTTCAAATAAATAAATAAATCTCAGGAAAAAAATGGGGGGGCTGGCGCCATGCTCACTTGATTAATCCTCTCCCTGTGGCGCCGGCATCCCATATGGGCACCAGGTTCTAGTCCCAGTTGCTCCTCTTCCAGTCCAGCTCTCTGCTGTGGCCCGGGAGGGCAGTGGAGGATGGCCCAAGTGCTGGGCTCCTGCACCCGCATGGGAGACCAGGAAGAAGCACCTGGCTCCTGGCTTTGGATTGGGGCAGTGGCAGCCATGGCTGCCATTTGGGGAGTGAATCAACAGAAGGAAGACCTTTTTCTCTGTTTCTCTCTCTCAATGTCTAACTCTATCTGTCAAATTAAAAAAAAAAATGGGAGCCTGGAATTCAGCCAGTCTCCCATGTAGGTGCCAGGGTGTGCACTGGCAAGAAGCTGGAGTCAGCAGTGGCTCCAGGACCAAAACCCAAGCATTCCAGTGTGGGGCACAGGCATCCCAAGCAGCATCCTAATTGCCACACCAAATGCCCCCCCAGAAGTTATTTTAAAATGCAAAGTGCCTATACCATTAAAAACCTTAGGAAACAATAACACTTTATCTAGCTGAGCTTAACTAAAACATAAACACACAAGGAGTAGACCTTCTGCCATCGGTTTGGACACCCAGGCCCTGCATCTGAGTACTGGGTTCAGGTCCCAGTTTCAGCTCTTGACTCCCTGCTAATGCAGACCCTGGGAGCCAGTGGGGACGGCTCGAGTACCTGGGTCCCCGCCACCCACGTGGGAGAGCTGTCGCTCCCCCTCTTCGTGGAGGAACGACACAGGACCCTGCGCTGTTCTTTCGTCTGCTCGGCCCTCCCCGGGTTTGCTGCTGGTTCTTCCCGGGTTGGCTACTGTCCCTTCCACCTCCGTGGAAGGGCGGTTCCCCCTGGCCGCTTTCCCCACTTCCGCAGGGGAGCGGCACACCGCCGGCCGGCTCTCTCGGGGGCTGCACAGGTGTTCCCCTTAGATGTTCCTCTTAGATGTTCCTGGTGCATGTTGTCTCTCTCCTCCTTTATAGTCCTCCTCCGCCAATCCCAACTTGGCTGCCCACACGCCGAGTACACTGCTCTCCTCCAATCAGGAGCAGGTCCTGCTGTTTATTGGTTGAACTGGAGGCAGCTATGTAGAAGCTGTTTTCTCCTCTCCCAGCGCCATATTGTGGGAGAGCAGATGCATGGAATAAGTCTTAATTCCAGTAACAGTCTAGTCCGAGTTGCTCCCCACAGATCCCCCTTTCTTTTTATTTTTGGCGTTGATACGCGCCTGTCTTCGGTGCCCCGCGGCACACACTCTGCTCTGCTTGCTAGAGTTGCCCACAGGTGCTTACAAGTCCTATCAATCAGGCAAACCGAATCTGGGTCCTCTCTTCGCCATGTTGTGAAGAGGTTTTTAGGCGCTGATGCGTGCCTGTGTTCGGTGCCCTGCAGCGCATGCTCTGCTCTGCTAGAACTGCCTGCAGGTGCTTACAAGCCCTACCAACCAGGCAAACCGAATCCGAGCCTTCTCATTGCCGTATTGTGGGGAGACTTACTGCTGTTGATTCGTGCCTGTCTTTGGTGACCTGCGGCGCATAAGCTGCTAGCCGCCCGCAGGTGCTTATCGTCCTAATCAGGCAGACCGAATCCAAGCTCTCTCATTGCTGTGTTGTGGGGAGGCCTTATTTTTCTGTTTCTCTATCTCCGGGCATTCCTATTTCTCCTATTTTACTTCTATCTACCAGCATTCCTATTTCTCTCATTTTACTTCTAAACTTCTGTTTCTCTTATCCCTGCGGCATCCCGGCGCCCGCCCCCAGGGGCGGTTTTTGGGGGCCTGCCCCCCGGGGGGGTTTCAGGTTTGTGGGGTTTTTCCGGGCCCCTCGCCCCCCCAGCAGGTTCCGGGTCTCTGCGCGCACTCTCCGCGGTCTACATGCATTTCGCACCCGCAACACGGCCTCGCGCCAGCCGCGCGTTCCTTATCTATTCACGCCGCGTGCTCTCTCCGCACGCGGCGGATCCGCGAGTCACACAGCGTAGCATACATCTCAGCCACTAGTATTCA